AGACAGCAGCTTGTTGAGCTCTTCATCGTTACGGATGGCAAGCTGCAAGTGACGGGGGATGATACGGGTCTTCTTGTTATCACGAGCGGCGTTACCTGCCAATTCCAGGACCTCAGCGGCCAGGTATTCCATGACAGCAGCCAGGTACACAGGGGCACCTGCTCCGACACGCTCGGCGTAATTGCCCTTACGCAGAAGGCGGTGAATTCTGCCAACAGGGAACTGAAGGCCGGCCCTGCTGGAGCGGGACTTTGACTTGCCCTTAACCTTACCACCCTTACCACGACCAGACATGATGCTTGCTTGTTAGGTAGTTTATAAACCTTATTTCGGTTTTGACGGAGCTTAGCTTTTATAGGCGGCCCCGGATGACTGAGTCAGATTGCGACGACTGGCATGTTCTGTGTACACCAGATCAGCCAGTAGTCGTGGTCCTGTACGCGGAGGCTGGCGCGCGTGTCGAGCCATATAAAAGGAAAATCTGACGTGCGCAAACATACCTTGTCCCAACAAGCATCATGCCTCCCAAAACTTCCGGAAAGGCTGCCAAGAAGGCCGGTAAGGCCCAAAAGTCTATCACCAAGGGTGATAAGAAGAAGAAGCGCAGGAGGAAGGAGAGCTACAGCATCTACATCTACAAGGTGCTCAAGCAGGTCCACCCTGATACCGGTATCTCCTCCAAGGCCATGTCTATCATGAACTCTTTCGTGAATGACATTTTTGAGCGCATTGCAGCTGAGGCTTCCCGCCTTGCACACTACAACAAGCGTTCCACCATCACCAGCCGGGAGATTCAGACCGCTGTCAGGTTGTTGCTCCCTGGAGAACTGGCAAAGCACGCTGTTAGTGAGGGCACCAAGGCCGTCACCAAGTACACTTCCTCCAAGTAAATCTCTAGGTTGCATCATTTGTTTGCCTCCTAGAACAACATCGGCTCCTTTAGGAGCCACATATTGTAATAAAGCAGATATACGATGACGTTGGTAACAACCCACTTGGTTGGTAACATGTTCTCTGCCTCGTACTCTTTTCTTATTATTATTGTTAATATTACTACCACTACTGTTATTATTACTATTACAATAACTACTACTACTAGTATAAGATCATTTATTGTCCTTACACATGGATAGATAGCTCTACAAGTGCTTAATGAATTACCAACAAGTCAGTTAGTCAGTCAGTTATTTATTCATTAACCCTAGTTATCTCGCGTGTTTAGTATTTGCGTTGAATTTAGAAACGTGTGTTGTATGATCTTATTGTGTTTGGTATTAGTATCATCATCATCAAAATACATTTGACGCCATTTACTATTATTATTATTATTATTCAAGGAATGGGCAAATCAGGATCGGTCACTAGAGCCTAGAAACTACAGAGGACGACATGACGTAACACCTAACTTGTGGAGGAGGAGGAGGTAAGGTAGGTTTGATCATATGTGGTATATTTATTTACTAGTGTATTTCTTTGTTTCTTTAGCAGACAGGACTAGGGAGAAAAGAAAAGTGGACCATGAACTTTATTTGTTTGTCACAAATTAAGTAATAATGATAGAGTAATGAGTTTTGCGTCATTGTCGGGTTTGTTAGGATTTACTTGTCACAAGCAAACACACACACAACTCAATTATTTTATATGTGGTATATGTTTATTGATTCATTTATCTTTCAGCAGATAGACCTTGGGAGGAAAGTGGATCATGGCCTCTGTTTATTCTGTCAGTCAAAGTGAGTATCAAAATAATGTTTTGCGTTATTGAGCGTGTTGATTGCAACATACACATGCATACATACATATACATACATATATATAACTCTCTCTGTATATATATATAACTATATAGTTATATAACTATATATATATAAAACTATAGATATATATATATTATTATTATATATATATATATAAAACTATATATATATATAAAACTATATATATATATAAAACTATATATATATATAAAACTATATATATATATATAAAACTATATATATATATAAAACTATATATATATATAAAACTATATATATATATATAAAACTATATATATATATATAAAACTATATATATATATAAAACTATATATATATATAAAACTATATATATATATAAAACTATATATATATATATAAAACTATATATATATATATAAAACTATATATATATATATAAAACTATATATATATATAAAACTATATATATATATATAAAACTATATATATATAAAACTATATATATATATAAAACTATATATATATATAAAACTATATATATATATATAAAACTATATATATATAAAACTATATATATATATAAAACTATATATATATATATAAAACTATATATATATATAAAACTATATATATATATAAAACTATATATATATATATAAAACTATATATATATATATAAAACTATATATATATATATAAAACTATATATATGTATAACTATATATATGTATAACTATATATATGTATAACTATATATATGTATAACTATATATATGTATAACTATATATATGTATAACTATATATATGTATAACTATATATATGTATAACTATATATATGTATAACTATATATATGTATAACTATATATATGTATAACTATATATATGTATAACTATATATATGTATAACTATATATATGTATAACTATATATATGTATAACTATATATATGTATAACTATATATATGTATAACTATATATATGTATAACTATATATATATATATATTATATATATATATATATATATATAAACTATATATAACTATATATATATATAAAACTATATATAACTATATATATATCTATATATCTATATCTATATATATTACTATGTATATAACTATATATATATATAACTATATATATATATAACTATATATATATATATAACTATATATATATATATAACTATATATATATAACTATATATATCTATATATATATAAATATATAACTATATATATATATATATATATAACTATATATATATTTATATAACTATATATATATTTATATAACTATATATATGTATATATAACTATATATATATAACTATATATATATATATATATATATATATGCATATATATATATATATATATGCATATATATAACTATATATATAGATATAGATATATATATAGATATAGATATAGATATATAGATATATATATATATATAGTTATATGTATATATAAACTTTATATATATATATATATATATATATATATATATATATAGTTGCACATACATACAGACATACAAACCTAGATAAATACATACATACATACAAACATAGATAAACACACACATGCATACAAACCTATATAAACACACACATGCACACAAACATAGATAAACACACACATGCATACAAACATAGATAAACACACATGCATACAAACATAGATAAACACACACATACACACAAACATAGATAAACACACATGCATACAAACCTATATAAACACACAGATGCACACAAACATAGATAAACACACACATGCACACAAACATAGATAAACACACACATGCATACAAACCTATATAAACACACACATGCACACAAACATAGATAAACACACACATGCATACAAACATAGATAAACACACATGCATACAAACATAGATAAACACACACATACACACAAACATAGATAAACACACATGCATACAAACCTATATAAACACACAGATGCACACAAACATAGATAAACACACACATGCATACAAACATAGATAAACACACATGCATACAAACATAGATAAACACACACATGCACACAAACATAGATAAACACACACATGCATACAAACATAGATAAACACATACATACATGCAAACATAGATAAATACATACATACATACATACAGAGATAAACACATAACATACACTTTCTCTCACTATGTATATGTACAGCGTGTGTATGTATGCATGTATGTATGTATGTGTATGGTAGCGTTTGCACATTTGTATGTATATATGCTTGTCAATATAATTAGTATGGATATAATTATCAGGATTAGTAGTTTGTGTACATTGACAACTTTTACACTACTTGTCAGCATTTCATCTCTCTGGGAACAAACTTTAGGCCCTGAAAAGGGCCGAGGATAATGATTTTGTGTTGCAGGTATGCAATCAAAACCTTAGGCGCGCTCTCCGCGGATACGGCGAGCAAGCTGGATGTCCTTAGGCATGATGGTAACTCTTTTAGCATGGATAGCGCACAGGTTGGTGTCCTCGAAGAGGCCGACCAGGTAAGCCTCGGAGGCTTCCTGCAGAGCCATGACAGCAGAGGACTGGAAGCGGAGGTCAGTCTTGAAGTCCTGGGCAATCTCACGGACCAGGCGCTGGAAGGGCAGCTTGCGGATCAGGAGCTCAGTGCTCTTCTGGTAACGACGGATCTCACGAAGGGCAACAGTTCCGGGCCTGTAACGATGGGGCTTCTTGACACCTCCGGTAGCAGGGGCAGACTTACGTGCTGCCTTGGTGGCCAACTGCTTGCGGGGGGCCTTGCCTCCGGTAGACTTACGTGCAGTCTGCTTGGTACGTGCCATTTTGCGAGTTTGTATCTAAACAGATATGAAACGCGATCTCGCTCAAGACGTCAATTTATAGGAGAGCGAGCGAGCCCTAGCCGAGTCGCGTGTGGCTGCGAGAGTCTGGCTTAAGCCCGCCTATTTCTACTGTGTAAATATTGCCAGAGATACGGCACACGTCAGGTCCTGTAATGCAGCCTCCGTGATGCTATGTTGAATTCCAAGTCGAAGGATGCCACAAACGACTAAGGCCCAATCAATTGAAAGTATTGTGCACGTGACCTTTAGTCGATAACAAGGCCTAGGCAAGTTTGTATTTGCACAGCGGTCACTTAAGATAAGCGCTCGTCTGAGTCGGCCGCCTCGCCGCTACGCAGACGGGGCGCGGCGGTAGCCTTACCCGAGGTGGGGCCATCCGTTTTTCATCTCGCTAACTCTCAGCAAGAAAACCAGCATCATGACCGGACGAGGCAAAGGAGGAAAGGGGCTCGGAAAGGGTGGCGCAAAGCGTCATCGCAAGGTGTTGCGTGATAACATCCAGGGTATCACCAAGCCTGCCATCCGTCGTCTTGCTCGCCGTGGAGGTGTCAAGCGTATCTCTGGTCTCATCTACGAAGAAACCCGTGGTGTCCTCAAGGTGTTCCTCGAGAACGTGATCCGTGACGCCGTCACCTACACCGAGCACGCCAAGAGGAAGACCGTCACCGCCATGGACGTCGTCTACGCTCTCAAGCGCCAGGGACGTACCCTGTACGGTTTCGGAGGTTAAATGTCTTGACCGACAACTACCATCAAAACAAACAACCCCCACCAAACCAAAAACCTTGGACCTATTTTAGGTCCTACAAATACTCATAAAGAGGATACAATTTGACAATGTGTGTATGTTATCTGTTTATCTGGTTTTATTGATAAATCAACACGAGTCCCCAGTATTGCGATTACAAATATTGAT